TTTATGTTGTTATTGTTTTTAACTATAATTATTACAATATTTAATGAGAATAACATAGAGCGCCTTAACATTTCAAAGTGCTGAACGGTACTGAAAAAAAAAACAGTTCTGCTCAAATAATAATACATGACCCTACAGGGAATACTTTGGCATTAAATATTGAGTTTAAGCTAGAAACCTTTATTGTGCAACAAATAGTTTGGTGTATTTCACAGTTGTTTGTTAATACCATATTCAGCTTTGGATGCAAAATGTAAACAACTTTACGCTCATCAACATTATATCAGTATTAGCTATCATTTTAGAAATGATAGCTAATACTGATATAAACATCTTTATTTCTAAAGGTTTAAGTGATCTAAATATGAGAGTATTAATAATCTCCAGTCAATATTGTATAAATAATTCTGGACTCAAATAATATAATGTACTACTTATGTTTTATAATACTGCAATAAAACAAATTATGGGAAAAGGAATTTCTCAGTAAGGGAAAAAAAGTTCTGCTTAGGAGTATACAATCAAACACATGCTGTTCAAATGGAAAAGGCCTTCAGGAGGAATATTGTAGCAGCTGACTGATGGATGAGATCAAGTTTTCCCCCTTGCTATAACATTCTTCCTGAAAGAAGGGGGTGCAGGTAGCTTTTGGCAGGTGAGAGAGGCCAGTATGTATTTTTCTTTGGCTCTGCCAACAAACTAAAAAAGAAGCAGGAAATCTTCCATGCAGGAAGGCCTGTTCTCCCCAGTTACTGCTTCCCTGCCCAATAATGAGTATTCACTGAAAGTAAATATACAACAGCTTTCTCTAGCAACGCTCCGATCATTCCCAATCAGCAGGACAAAGTCTCTGAAGGGTACCTGGTGGGAGGAGGCAGATTTAGACTGAAGGCAGCCTACGAACTTGGAATGACATTCCAGAACCCGTTTTTCATTCAGATCCTATCCTCGACATATATAGCACTAAAGAAACATGCATGCTTTGTAACTTTGCCACTTCATAGAAATATATAATTTTGCTCTCCTACCTGTTCCAAAGGAAACAGTTTGGTATGCGCTTAAATAAAAGTAAGCCTCTTTGACCTTAGTATGGCCTATTTTTAGTAGACATTCAAAAGTTTGTTGTGTTAGGACTTCCAGGGCCTCCCATTTGACCACATTGGAACTTCATGCTGTATGAATATATGCAGGATTGATTTCCAAATAGAGCTTTTTACTTCACTCTAAAATGTTGGCTTGATGAAGAAATCTAAGCAAAATCCTTATTGTCTCCTGTTCCTGTGAGGACCACACAATCTTAAAATTATATTGTCGAAGGCTTTCACGGCCGGAATACGATGGCTGGTGTCGGTCTTTCGGGCTGTGTGGCCGTGTTCTGGAAGTTTTGTTTCCTAACGCTGGGGACAGAGAGAACTGCTCCTGTTTGTGCTCCTGCCTTCTGAAGACGCCGGTCACAGATGCTGGCGAAACGTTAGGAAACCAAA